GGGGGGTGCCTGGAGTGAGCAGCCTTGGCTGGTGGCTACCGCTGATCCCGGGTGACATGCCTCAGGATGGAGGGCGGTGATAGATATTTAGGATTTCTTTGATTTTTTTAATGTGTGTGTGTGTGTGTGCGTGGGGGGGGCTTTGGGGTGGGGGGGTGAGTGATTGATGTGAACTGCTCCCTCTCCCAGGGACATCTCCTATCATGGAGACCATCCCCTAACCTGGTCCTACCAGACCCGCTGACCTGTGCTCTGCTCCACCTCCCGCAGGCAGCCAACCCCTACCTGTCCACCAGGAGCGGCTCCACGGTGACCTCAGGGGGGCGTTTCCGCTGCCCGTCCTGCAGACATGAGGTGGTTCTGGACCGACACGGCGTGTACGGGCTGCAGAGGAACCTGCTGGTGGAGAACATCATCGACATGTACAAACAAGGCAGCAGCAGGTACCCAGGAACTCCTGTCTGTGAGTCAGAACCGGTTCAGAGATCCAGAACTCTGACCTGCTGCCAGAACATCTACAGGAAAAGAAGGCCTGATGTTCTGTGAGCTGCAGGCAGCAGCGGCTCCACAGATGTTTCTATGCAGGAGATAAAGGAGGCGGAGCCTGAACAGAGGAGCCATGGCGCTCCAGGGTTCCTCAATCCACACAGATGCTGATTCCAACAAAGTTAAAAACAATCCACTGGACTTTGTGACATTTTCTGACATTTTGAATTGAAAAATCTTCCTGGATGGAAGAGAAACGTCTTCAGACTTGGAAACAAAGTCCAGTGGATTGATTTATAGACGCAGTAGATGCTAAGTAAAACAGGAGCGCTCACTACGCCGAAATCTGAGGCTGAACACCTGCTTCACCCAACAAGACTAGAAAACAATCAACTCCCTGCATTTTATCTAGGATTTAATCAGTGAAATCAGATCTACTGTTTTTAATCAATAATAAATGTAGAAACACAATTAAACACAGGATTAAGCAAAATACTGATTATGAAATATTAGGACATTAGCAATAAAAAAACAATACTTTGTTGGAAACGGTTGTTTGTGAGGAAAAAATCACAACGACCACATGTTCATTTATTACCTCTGATGGAAAACTGGTTACCCCAGTGTGGGGCGTACATTTTTGATGCTTGTCCAAGTTTAGTTCTGACGCAGCTAAAGCATCTTTGCTGCTCTAGCTGCTCGG